GGGGTTAGGGACGTGGTGTGTTTCGGGGTTAGGGACGTGGTGTGTTTCGGGGTTAGGGACGTGGTGTGTTTCGGGGTTAGGTTTTGGGGTTAGGGACGTGGTGTGTTTCGGGGTTAGTGTTTTGGGGTTAGGGACGTGGTGTGTTTCGGGGGTTAGGGACGTGGTGTGTTTCGGGGGTTAGGGACGTGGTGTGTTTCGGGGGTTAGGGATGTGGTGTGTTTCGGGGGTTAGGGACGTGGTGTGTTTCGGGGGTTAGGGACGTGGTGTGTTTCGGGGGTTAGGGACGTGGTGTGTTTCGGGGGTTAGGGACGTGGTGTGTTTCGGATGTGGTGTGTTTCGGGGGTTACGGACGTGGTGTGTTTCGGGGTGTTTTTTTTTTTTTTGGTCCAGGTAACCATAAGCCTCTTGCTAAAACTGGAGTGTCAATGGTTACCCATACTGCTGTTAGTGCCGAATGGAATATACAATACCATTAAGTTGCTGTGTGTTTGCCAGTTAAAATGAGAGATTCTTTATATGTTTAGCTAATTCAGTGAACTGCAAACAAATTCCATTAATGTTTGATCCAGTTGACTCTTAAATGAACACTATAACATTGGGAATAACCATGTATATTCTTAACACTATAGTGTAGGGATCAACCAATATTGATTTTTTTTTTTGATTTTTTTAGAGCCGATAATTTGTGAACTTTCAGGCCGATAGCCGATAACTTGCCGATATTCTGTACATTTACCATTTTGAAAATGTAGTGGATGAAGTGTGTTTAGACAGGGGAGCTGTGTGTGTGTGTGTGTAGTGTGTATTTGTGTAGTGTGTGTGTATAATGACTGCAGAGTGTGTTTGTGTAGTGTGTGTATAGTGAATGCAGTGAGTATTTGTGTAGTGTGTATATATAGTGGATGCAGAGTGTGTGTGTATAGTGATTGCAGAGTGTTTTTGTAGTGTGTTTAGTGAATGCAGAGTGTGTGTTTGTGTAGTGAATGTAGTGTGTGTGTAGTGAATGCAGAGTGTATTTGTGTAGTGTGTGTGTTTGTGTAGTGAATGCAGTGTGTGTGTTTGTGTAGTGTGTGTGTAGTGAATGCAGAGTGTGTGTTTGTGTAGTGTGTGTGTAGTGAATGCAGTGTGTGTTTGTGTAATGAATGCAGAGTGTGTGTTTGTGTAGTGTGTGTGTAGTGAATGCAGAGTGTGTGTTTGTGTAGTGTGTGTGTGTGTAGTGAATGCAGCGTGTTTGTGTAGTGTGTGTATATAATGCGGTGTGTGTGTGTGTAGAGATGTAATTTGTGTAAAATGGGGGGGGGGGCATTTTTTTATTTTTAATTATTTTTTTTCAATATTTAAATGTGTTTTGTTTTTTTTAGTCCCCTCTCCCTGCTTCTTACCAGGGAGGGGGGGATATAGTATTCCCTGGTGGTCCGGTGGCTTGTTAAGTACTGCGGGGGCCGGCAGCAAGCTGTTACTTAACTCCCAGCAGCTCCCTTCAGCTCTCTGTGTAAATCTTGTGGCCCTTAGTGCCGCACGGAGCGTTGCCATGGTAACCCATAGCAACGCTCTGCTGCCGTGAGACTTGCGAGGTTTACACAGAGAGCTGAAGGGAGCTGCTGGGAGTTAAGTAACAGCTTGCTGCTGGCCGTCCAGGACCGCCGGGCCCATTACAAGCCCGGCGGTCCTGGATGGCCAGCAGCAAGCTGTTACTTAAGTAGGAGGTATTATCGGTATCTATATTGGCCGATACCGATATTGCCGAAAATACCGGATATCGGCCGATAATATCGGTAAAACCGATAATCGGTCGATCCCTACTATAGTGCCCTGTTAAATGCTTAATGCCTCACTTGTAAGGAGTTAAAGTAAAGTTAACAGGCCTTTCCTCCCACTGCGCGCTGCCCGTTCCTCGGAAAGCATTTGGAAGCTAGGCTGAATGTGCGGCAACAACATGTTGCACCAATCACAGGGTCTCTCTGTCCGTAGCCCTTCGCGTGACTGCCTGAGTGACTACCACCAGAGGTATTTAACCCCTTAAGACCGCAGGGCGTTCTATGCCGTCCTTATTTAGATGGCTCTAAACGCTGCAGGGCGGCATAGAATGCCCTGCGATCTTATGTACTTACCCGGTCGCCGGCGATCGCGTTATGGAGACTTACCTGGGAGCCCAGGGAGTCCCCCTCCGTCCTCTTCGCCCCCCCTGGGCCATGTGATCGCGAGCACCTCGCGATCACATGGACGGTATAGCCTTCCATAGCAATGCCAGCAGGGGGAGTGCCTGTAATGACATAAAAAAATAAAACCGTTTAAATCAGTGTAAAAATAAATATATACTTAGATCATATATATTTATATATATGATCTAAGTATATATACACACATACACATATATACACTGTGTATTTTAATATTAATATATGCATAATTATATATATAATATATATATATATATATCAAAATACACGTACACTGATATTGATTAAATATATATAATTTTATATATATATATATATATATAATAAATATGTAAATACGTTAATAAAATTAAAAAAAAATATATATATATATATATATATACATGTGTAATTTCATTCTAACTGTATTTTTAAATTATATATAGATATTAAAATACATGTAGAACGAAATATATCTATATATGTCAGTATATACGTATATATCACTATATATATATATATATATATATATATATATATATATATATATAATTAAAAATAATTTTGAAAAAATTATATAAATATATATATTTACGTAATAATTTTACATAATTAGGTCATTTTATTAATTACAAGTTGCAGGAGCTGCCTGACAGCCCAGGCCGAAAGTTCAGGGAATTTAATTTGCTAGCATTATACCATGTAACTTTCCAAGACACCATAAAACCTGTACATGGGGGTACTGTTTTACTCTGAAGACTTCGCTGAACACAAATATTAGTGTTTCGAAACAGTAAAATGTATTACGACGACGATATCGTCAGTGACAGTGAAATTCTTTGCATTTTTCACACACAAATGGCACTTACACGGACGATAGAATTGTTGTGATCCATTTTACTGTTTTGAAACACTAATATTTTTCTTCAGCGAAGTCTCCTGTGTATAACAGTACCCCTCATGTACAGGTTTTATGTAATACATTTCATAAGTTCTCAAAAGTTACAGCGTCAAATATAAGGCTTGCGTTTCAGTTTTTTCACATTAAAATTCGCCAGATTGATTACGGTGCCTTTGAGACCCTATGGTAGCCCAAGAATGAAAATTACCCCTATGATGGCATACCATTTGCAATAGTAGACAACCCAAGGTATTGCAAACGGGGTATGTCCAGTCTTTTTTAGTAGCCACTTAGTCACAAACACTGGCCAAAATTGGCGTTTTTTGCATTTTTCACACAAACAAATACTAACGCTAACTTTGGCCAGTGTTTGTGACCAAATGGCTACTAAAAAAGACTGGACATACCCCATTTGCAATACCTTGGGTTGTCTATTATTGCAAATGGTATGCCATTGTGGGTGTAAATTTTATTCCTGGGCTACTATAAAGTCCCAAAGGCAACGTAACCAATCTGGCGAATTTCAATTTCAAATGTAACATGCTATATTTGACCCTGTAACTTCCCAAAACGCCATAAAACCTGTACATAGGGGGTACTGTTTTACACGTGAGACTTTGCTGAATACAAATATGTGTATTTTATTGCAGTAAAAGCAAACAGTATTATGACATTGACAGTTAAAATGTCATGTAGAACTAAAAAAATCAAAAAATCTTATTTTCTCCCATTTTTTTCATATTAAATTATGTTTCATAGCTAAATATTTGATATTAAATGAAAGCCCTGTTTCCCCTGAATAAAATGATATATAATAAGGGTGGGTGTATTTACTATGAAAGAGTTGAATTACGGTTGGACAGACATGTAGCGCAAATGCCAGGTTTTGTTTACATTTTGTTTCGTTCACAACGTGTACATTTGGCTCCGTTCTTAAGGGGTTAAACCCTGCAATGTAAATATTGACGTTCTGCAGAAGGGCAACATTTTTTTTACAGCAGCATATGGCACCCAGACTACTTTAACTTAATGCCACCACCATCTGAAAGGCATACTCAAAGCTCCATAATCACCTGTTTTTCCCTGAGTAAGGGCATAAAAAAATTATTGTTAGTATCAAAGGGACAGTATAAGCAACATTGCCACTCCAGTGCGCTGCAGTGGTTCTGCTTTCAGGAGTCCTCTGACAGGTTTACTGAGGGATAGCACCAAACCATTTACTAGCAGTTGGATGCATATTTGGTTAGCATGCCAACTTTGGACTTTATTCATTGACTGAAAGCTGTCCAATAGTTTTGTAGTTATTAGGTAAAATAGGACATATTGACTACATTAGGGTACTTATGTGCTTATATGATTTCTTTTAGGTATTCAATAAATGCTTTTATTTTCTTTGTGTGTGTAAAAATGCTCAACTTGCTTCTCTCTACTAGGGCTCGTGGCTTCTCCTGCTGGAGAAGGCCACATCTAGATCCTAGTTGAACCCAGGTAAGTTTTCGGTTTTACATCTTTCCATGAGATGGTGCTGGTTGTGATTTTTTTTTTTTCTTTATTATTTTTTATTTTATTTTATTTTTTTATAAAAATTTTTTTAAGGAATCCCACCAGGCTGAACTGAGCAAAATACAAACATCAGAGATACTTATTTTTACATATCCATATTTTGCTACAAATCTGCTGCTGGAGTGGGAACTACTAAGATTTTCTTTTTTGTGCCAATCCTGTGCATTCACTTGTTTGTAATTGGAGCATTGTGTCTATTCCATATGTAGTTTTATAACCCTAGTTAGTTTCATTTATAAAGACATGAATGAAATTACATGGCAGGCAAATAAGAAGC